ACTGAATCACTTTATTTTAGATATGTCTGTTGTCTCTGCAAAGTTTTTGTTTTGTGAGCTGAATCCAAACCCTTTTTGATAGACTGTGTAAGACTGAGGCCTTTGGTCTCAATTCTATCACGTTTTCTTTTTTTTTTTTTAATATTTTATTGTAGTTATTTTTTTTTTAATATTTTATTGTAGGCTTTTTTTTTTTGAGGAAGATTAGCCCTGAGGTAACATGTGCTGCCAATCCTCCTTTTTGCTGAGGAAGACTGGCCCTGGATGTTGCTGAGCAAACATCCGTGCCCATCTTCCTCCACTTTATATGTGCGACGCCTACCAGAGCATGGTGTGACAAGCGTTGCCATGTCCATATCCAGGATCCGAACCGGCAAATCGCAGGTGGCCAAAGCGGGACATGCGCACTTAACTGCTGCGCCACCTGGCTGGCCCCATCACATTTTCTAATTACACATATTTCATTCTATTAGTTGCCTTGTTCATTATGAAATATGTAGTTTTTGATGGTCTATTTTCCAGAAATTGAGAGAGGTTTGGTATTTGTATATTTATTCCAGTGGCTACCTTCATACTTACATATTTTTTAATGTTCTTCATTACCCATTTACTTATTTAACATTTTACTATGTAGTTTGTTAAGGTTGGGGGGACATTTTCCCCCCAGTATTCTTTAAAACCACCTAATGCCCACACATTATCCTCTTCCTAGTTTCTCACCCCATTTTTTTTAGATGCAGTCTTCTATTTTGTTACAGTACACGACATCTGTACATTAGCCTTCCATTCTCATCCTTACTCTATTAGTCATTTTGCTGAAAATTTCCCAGACATCATTTGGTTGGATGAAGCTCATCCTCTGGTGTATTTCTAAGAAATGCCTGGTGGGTGCAGAATTACGCAAGTCCCTGTATGTGAAAAACTTTTTTCTATAGCCTTGATGTCTGAGGGGAATCTCAGCTGGAATAAAATCCTTGGTTCACACTTTGAGCTATCAGAAAATCCTGCTCCACTGTGGCCTCCTTTGTCCGTCTGTTTTGCAAAGTATGATGCTAATCTAATTCTTTTGCTTTGTAAATTATGCGTTCTTTTTGCCTGGAAGCCTTGATAATTTTATCTTCATCTCTGAACTGTAACAGTTTTAACTAGGGTATGTCTCCGAGCTGATAATTCTGGATTAATTTTCCCAGGTACCTAGTGAGCCCTCTTAATTTGTAGAATCAAGTTTTTTTTCCAATTCTGGAATTTTTTCTTAGACAATATTCTTAAATATTAATTTTGCTCAATTGCTTTGTTTTTCTTCTTCAGAGACTGACAATATGAATATATTTTGTCTTCTTTGTCTGCCTTCCATTCCCACTACTTTCTCTGACTCATTTAATGTCTCCCTTTATGGCATTTTCAAACTCTTGCTTGTATTCATACTTTCTTCATTGCCTCTTGTTAAATTTTTGTCTATTCTCCTTAAGAATCTCATAATTCATGAGATAATTTTGTCTTTTTCTTCCATTTCCTGAGTTCCATCATTTTTTTTCATTTCTTCTGTTTTTCTTTTCTATTCTTAGTTTTAAAATTTCAGATCCAAAGTGTTTTTATATCCTCAAATGCTTGTTTCAGTATATTCAATCCTGTTTGGAGTGCAGAGTTAGACCTTTCTTGTTTCCTAGTTATTTTCTGGGGGAAGGGAGGATTTCCTCAGTTAATCTGTGTTATTTCCTGATTATCTGCAATAAATTCTCTATGGATTTTATTTCTTCCTATTCATTTTGTGATACTTGTGGGGGGATGGTTTAAAAGATTTCTAGTTTACTGATACCGTTTCCTGTCATTCTAACAAAGCCCAGGTATATCAGTTTTCTTTTTTGTTGTTTGTTTTGATAGTAAGGTAAGAGAGTCCTCCAATTTTATGTTTCTCTTTATCTTGAAGGACTCGAAAGTTTCCCCTTTTCATCCTTCAAATGGCACAATGAACAGTGCTTTCTTAGCCAGAGAAGTGAGAGGGATGGGCAGGCTAATTTACCTGAAATTAGTATTGTATTAAATGTAATGTTGTTGAAGCTTTTGGAATGACAGATAAGTTTCAGTATCCATGTGGTAGCAATTATCTCCTATTCCTAGGAATTAAAATCTTCTCTTTAAGTAGTCAAAAAATTTCAGAAGTGCTGAAGGTAAGTTATTTAGCTTGCTATGGATTAAGGAGATCGGCATACATCAAAGGAGAATCAACCCCTACCAACTGCCTTTTTTTCCCCCCTTACATGCATAAAATGAGTCAAGTAGCTCCTCTGATAGGCAAAAGAAAAAGTGCTAGAAATTGATTTATTTTATGCCATACTCAAGGGATCATATACTTAGGTTTTGTCTTCATTTTTATGTTTTTAAGTTATTGGTGCAGAGAAAAAAGGAAGGTTTAGAGAAAGAACATAGAGATATAGATTTTGACTTTTGGCACAAGTCTAATTTACTTGTGGCACTGTTAAGATTAATATTAGTCAATTTTTTTTTCCCTGAGGAAGACTAGACCTGAGCTAACATCTGTGCCAATCTTCCTCCACTTTTTTGTGGGTCACCCCCATAGCACAGCTAACAAGTGGTGTAGGTCTGTGCCTGGGATCCGAACCCGCAAACCCCAGACACCAAAGCAGGGTGTGCCAAACTTAACCACTATGCCATGGGGCTGGCCCCAGTCATATTTTAAATATAATAGTTTCAAAGTATATCAAAATAATCCCAGCTGAGGAATGCTGTACTAACTCCTTTTACATTATATTGTATATATATTTCTACCCATATTCCCTATGGAAGAGACTAGAAGACAACCATGGAGATGTAGTTGATCTAGTAATGGAAAACAGCCAGAGGAAGCAATGTGGAAAGTAGTCTATAATTACTATTTAATATGGCTTAATAAAATCATTATAAACCAATTACTATGTTATTAACTATAGTAAAAAAGTATGCTTTGTTTACAATTATCAGCAACCTTCTTTTATTTAAGCCAATCTCTAAAAATCACTTCCTTAGGTTTATGAAAGCTTCATTTATTCCACTCATTCTACAAATATCTACTGACTCCCTATTATGTGCCAAAGTTCTTGGAACTGGGATATAGTAGTGTACATGACACATACAGCATATAGAACTTTTAAGTTTAGCTAAGACGACAGAAAATTAAACAAGTATATTATAAGTGTGATGAATATTTCAACAGGGAGGTAGTATCGGGGGCTATATAAGCAGAAAGTGGACCTAAATGGAGTCCTTAGTCCTTCAGCTAAGACTGGAAGGATGAGCAGAAGGCAGCAAGACCAGGGGGATAAGGAAGAGAGAGTGTTCTAGGCAAAAGCTTGGAGTGAGAGAGCACATTCCAGGAACTGAAAACAGCATAGTGTGGCTGGAGTACTGCAGAGATAGAGGTGAAAAGATCAGCAAGATCCATTCCACAGGGGCCCTCGTGAGCCACTTAACTCAGGACTTTAGCCTAAGAGCCACTGAAAGGTTTTAAGAAAGAGAGTGACACAATCAGATGTGCATTTTAGGGAAATTCAACTAATCAATCAACAATAGTTAAAGAGAACCAATTGGAGCAAAGCAGTACAACAGGCTCAAGGGCAACACACAGATGGAGGAGTTTGGATTCTCAATGAGCCTTCAAGGACTTTAGAAATGTTAGAAGATTTCTAGATATTACAAGTGCATCTATTCCCTAAGGGAGAGAGCTGGGTTGTAGTAATATGGAAAGGAATCTTAGGGTCTCAAAGATGGGGTAGGTTTTAGATGGGAGAGGAGCCATGTACATCCTGAGCCATTTCAAAGAGAAAAGTGGTTGAAAATAAATCTGGAAAGGCAGATTTGGGCTCTATGTGGAAGACTTCAAATATCTAAGTAAAGAGTCTGAAATTTATCCAGGTAGGAAAGGTAAAGCCATTGACAATTTCTCAGCAACAGAGCCTGCTCAGGTGATAGCATGATGGATAAATCAGAATGAAAAAAAAGACCAGACCTAGGAAAGACAGGAGCCTTTCAGAGTGCTCCAAGTGCTGCTGATGTAAAAATTAGCAGTGGGGATAAGGGAAACAGACTTGGGAGTTACTACAAAAGAAACCAACGTAGACTTGAAATACCTTCCTGAATTTCTAAGGTAGACAATAGAAGGGCAGGATCAAGGATGACAACAGAGCTGAACGGTGTGAAGCCAGGTGGGCTACAAACTGGAAATTATATATCACACGCATAGTTTCTCTATAGTAGTATTAGCATAAAGCAGTGTTTCTCAAAATGTGGTTGGCAGATCGGAACTGATCTCTGGGCTATTTGTCTTCCAGTCAGGACAGAAAACGAGAGTAAGCATTTAGAAACATTTATAGCAATATGACAGCAATTTCACTGTGGAATTTTTCTTTTTACTATCGAATTTAAGAAAAAATTTGGACTTTTATTGTGTTTGTCTTTTCATTCCATTTTTCTAGTAATTCATTTTCATCCTATTTTACAAAAGTATAGATCTGTCAAAATTTTAAAAATAATAAAACTGGTCCTTTCCCACAGATAGTTTGAGAAGCACTATCAGAGTATTTAGCGGGCACCTGAAACCTAGCTAAGTGGGTTAACTGTACCTTTGTAAACGCACACTCAAAAACAGACACAAATTTGAATGTGGACTGCATATTAGAGGGTATGTATTTACTGCTAATTTTCTCAAGCGTAGTAATACCACTCTGATTATGCAGGAGAACGATACTTTTAGGAGCTATATGCTGATGTATTTAGGGGTCAATTATCATGATGTGTGCAACTTACTGAATGATTCAACAAGAGAAAAAGACAGGAGGTATCTCAAACACATACAGCTAAAGCAAATATGGTCAAATGTTAACAATGGCTGAATTTACGGGGTGGGTTTATAGATGATAACAATACTATACTTTTAACTTTTGAATAATATAATGTTGAAAAATATTTAAATAAATAGTACATCATAAAAGCAAAGTCTTCCATACCCCAAAGTCACTAGGTCAGTATCCTCTGGGATGACTTCCGGATCCTCGCCTTCTTCAAGGCACTGCAGTTTATCGAGGCTAAAACAAAAACGAGAAGCAATCATGCATCTTGTCCATAGCGAGTCAGGGCTGTGTCCTAAATACATCAATGAATAATTAAGTTTTAAAATCCAGCAGGCGGCTCACAGGAGGCCAGTTCAAGGCAATGATTTCTGTGCCAACATTCTACAAAGAAAAGAATAAATGGCCGGTTGATGGTGGCCAACACTGTTAAATGGAGAAAGAGCTCGTTAAAAGTTATTTTTATATTTTTCACCCCAAATAAGGTACTTTTGGGGAAAACTTTATTAATAGCATACCAGGGAAGTCCCCCAAAGAGACCAGTTAGCCAAGGTTTTAAAACTCCTCTGATTAACTCTCCTTCCAGCCTATTACCAAAGCTCCTCCATTGTCAAAGTGTCTGTCAATGGTAGATACACCTCGCTGTTACTCTGCTTTTCTATACTAACAAGCACTTTAAAAATTAGCGAATAGGAAAATTAATCTTTGATGCAGTTCTCTCGTCCCTTCACTCCAACTCGCAGAAATTGTGCGTTCCGATCACGAGATCTGGTTCCGGCAAGTGGAAGGCTCTGAAGGCTCCCCGCTACTCCCAGGAGTAAACGACCGGCCCTCCCAAGGATGAGTCCCAGGGGAACGCAGGAGCAAGGCTGCACCCACTTGGCCCCAAGAGCAAGAGCCCCTAGGCCCCGCACTCACCCGCACACCGCTCTCAGCTCCGCTGCCGCCTCCAGGTTGCAGCCCAGATCCCGGGCCACCGCGGCATCCTCCCGGCCGGCGTCGGCGACCCCTCGGCGCCCGGGCAGTGCGGGTGCCGGCGGCTCCTTCAGCGACAAGTCCCCTGACCCGCGCAGCCGGCCACGCCACAGCTCCCCGAAGGCACCCACGTGGAAAGCGCGCGTGTTTAGCTCGGGAAGCTCGTACTCTGGAAAGTTGCTGCCGCCAGCGCTGGACATGGGATCCTGTCTGCCGCCCACCCCGCCGCACGTTGGGCCACCCCGGCTGCTTTCAGCCATGTTCGCCTCACTCCCTTCCCTGCACAAGCCGGGCGATCAAGGCCTCGCGGAGTGTGATGGGACTTGTAGTTGCGCGTGGCCCGCGCTGGCAAGCAACTGGGCTGCGCCGCCGAGCTTCAGACACTACGTTTCCCAGCAGGCCCCGCGTCGGGCCCGTCCCCGGGCGCGGCCCCGCGAGGCCCTGAGCGCAGGGCTGAGCGCATTGTTCTCCGCTCGGGGCGGCTCGGGGGCGGTTGCGGCTCTGCTTTCTCCGCAGCCTGTCGGCCTTGGTGGCCGGCCCCTATGGTTCCGTAGCGTCGCGCTCGGCTGGGCAGGGCGGCCTGGCCACGCCCTTCGGTCCTGCTGTTTGCTGTCCTCGGCCCGGGGTACGAGACTTTTCCTTGACTCCAGAGTTCGTGGGCTGCGCTGCTGCCTCGCTGCCCCAGAGCCTGAGAGCCGTGGAGCGAGGGCTGAGCCCAGGGACATGACCGGCCCTCCAGAGCCGGTTCCTTCAGAGCCTCCCCAACGCCCGGGGTGCACCTATATACCTTGTGCATTGCTGTCGGCACACACAACAGTGCTTGTTGAGCGTCTGCTATGTATCACTGTACATGATTAACCCTAATGTGTATTTTTAAACGCCGCCCTGCTGGTCTGGTGGTTAAGATTGGGCGTTCTCACTGGGTTCCTATCCCGGTCAGGGAACCACACCACCCGCTGCGTTGTCATACTGTGGCGGCTGTGTGTAGCTGTGATGCTGAAAGCTGTACCACCGGTATTTCAAACGCCAGCAGAGTCACCCATGGTGGACAGGTTTCAGCGGAGCTTCCAGACTGAGACAGACTAGGAAGAACGACCTGGCCACCAATTTCTTTAAAAGTTCACCAAGAAAACCCTACGAATAGCAGCGGAGCATTGTCTGATAAAGCACTGGTCTGATACAGCACGAGAAGGTGAGAGGATGACCCAAAAGAACAGGCAGGGTTCTGCTCTGCTATACACAGGGTGTTGCTGGGAGCTGGAATCTCTCCTGGCACCAGCAACAAAAGTATTTTTAAAAATCACATCTGCCTTTCCAGGTAGGGCCTATCATCCCTATGTTGCTGCTGAAGAAGGAATTAACTGCTAGGAAATAGAAGCAAGATTGGCACTCAAACTGTCTTGCTTCAGATGGAACTTCCTCCAACTCTCAGAGGCTCCAGAGGCGGTACCAGGACATACAGAAGCCCTGGTTATTTATTTATTGGGATAGACTTCATATATCATATACTTCACCCATTTAAAGCATTCATTCAATGGTGTTGGTATATTTACATAGTAGTGCAACCATTACCACAATCAATTTGAGAACATTTTCACCACTCCAAAAGAAACCCTGTATCTTTTAGCTATTACCCGAGTCTTCCCAACTCCTCCAGTCCTAGCCAACCACTGATCTTTCCGTCTCTTAGATTTATGTATTCTGAGCTTTTAATATAAATGGAATCGTATATATGGTCTTTTTGTGACTAGCTTTTTTCCCTTAGCATATTTTCAGGGTTTATCCATATTGTAGCATGTATGAGTATTTCTTTCCTTTCCGGGGCTGAATAATACTGCATTGTATGGACATAGCACATTTTATTTATCCGTTCATCAAAAGGTTGTTTCTACAATTATGAATCCTTATTCACTGCTACGAACATTCATGTACAAGTTTTTGTGCAGACATATTTTCATTTCTCTTGGAGATTGATCTATCTAGGAGTGAATTCCTGGGTCGTATGATAATGATATTAAACCATTTGAAGAACTGCCAGACTGTTTTCCATCAGCATTGTATGAGGATTCCGATTTCTCCATGTCCTTGCCAATGCTTGTTATTATCTGACGTTTTTGTGTGTGTGAGGAAAATTGGCCCTGAGCTAACATCTGTGCCAATCTTTCTCTATTTTGTATGTGGGATGCTGCCACAGCATGTCTTGATGAGCAGTGTGTAGGTCCATGCCTAGGATCTGGACCGATAAACCCTAGGCCACTGAAGCAGAGCATGAGAACTTAACCACTACACCACCGGCACAGCCCCTGTCTGACTTTTTGATTATAGCCATCCTAGTGAGTGTGAAGTGATATCTTGTGGTTTTGCTTTGTATTTTCCTGGTACCAAATGAGATTGAACATCTTTTCATGTGCTTGTTGGCCATTTATATATGTTTGGAGAAATGTGTATTTAGGTTGTGGGGGATCAGAATTGGCCACCCCAAAATGTGTCTCTTTGGCTTGATTATTTCTAAGGACAAAAGACTCTGAAAGATACTTTGACCTTCTACCCTAACCACCTAAAAGAATTTAAGATAGAAGATCTGTTCCAGGAAGGAGATAATACTAAAAGATAACTATAGTCTGATATAAACAAGGTGTGGTAGACAGGGAGGAACCTAACAAGGGCTTTTTAATCAAAGTCCCCTCCATCTCTCACTGTCTTTGCAAGGCATGGTCAACATTTATCATTTACCTTTCCATCTCCATGTAAATTACCTTCCTCCCCTTTGAAGTCCCAAACCACTGCCCCCAACATCCTCCTTTGTCTTCAGCTGAAGATAGTATTTAAGGTAGTAGCTTCTGCCATTTTGGCAAGTTACGGTTTTCCTGGGTTTCTCCCACGTATGCATGTTATTAAACTTAGTTTGATTTTCTCCTGTTATTCCGTCTTGTGTCAATTTAATTCTTAGACCAGCCAGAAGGATCTAGAGGGTAGAGGAATAGTTCTTCCTCCCCTACAAAGTCCTCTGTGCACTTTTAAATTAGGTTATGTGTCTCTTTATAGGAGCCCTGGTATTCATCAGTACAGCGTGGTAGGAGACATCTGTTGTTCTTGTCTCCCTAGTGTTCTGTTTCATAGAACTGGCCTTCCCTGCTCCTTTGGCTCTTCCTGGGGCTACTAATCATAGAAGATCCCTTCCCATTCTGGCCACAGTGATTGGCTCAAAGATGAGCAAGTGACTCAACTAGAGCCAATCAGAATCTTCCTCTGGGATTTTGTCTATAAGCTCAGAAATTCTCCCTCTGTTCTGAGGACCTAAGGATCTACCCTAGACACAGGCTATAGAAGAGTTATAAGGAAGAAAGCCAAGAGTTTAAATAAACACAGACAGAAGATGGAGAAAGAGAGAAGTCACATGACTTGGAGTGGTTGAGGCCATCTTCTCCCCTAGACTTGCCGTCATGTAAACCAGTAATTTTTTTTTTTGAGGAAGATTAGCCCTGAGCTAATATCTGCTACCAGTCCTCTTATTTTGGCTGAGGAAGACTGGCCCTGAGCTAACATCTGTGCCCGTCTTCCTCTACTTTATATGTGGGACACCTACCACAGCACGGCTTGCCAAACGGTGCCATGTCTGCACCTGGGATCTGAACCGGCGAACCCTGGGCCACTGAAGCTGAACATGTGCACTTAACTGCTGAGCTACTGGGCCGGCCCCAGTAATTTTTTTTTTTTTATCTTAAGCTGGTTTGTGTTGGATTCTCACAACCTGAAGACAAATAGTCTTCCGTGGCCTGTAAGACGTGGTCCAAATCCCTCAATGGGGGCAGCTGTTGCTCCAGAGAATGAGGTCACACTTCAGGTGCAGGAAGTGTGACATATATTTGGAGATTTAGTAACTTTGGCTTCAGGAGTGGAGACCACAATGGTTCCTGGGTAGCAGTGTCTAGGGGCAGGACTAAATGAGCATAGCAGGGGAGTGTGGTTCATTGTCACTGTGAGGTGTGGCGTTGGGGAACAGCAGCTCAAGAGGCGTGGATGGCAGGGATCAGTGAGGAAAGAAAGATTAGTGGTGAGCGCCCGCAGGAGTTACGACAACATGGCAGTCAGTTGAATCTTATCATCAGCGGCCCCCCATTGAGATAAGGCTGAAGGGGTCCAGAATATGCCACTGTGACATAAAAATTATTTTGAGTTGAAGGCATTTAAGAATAAGCTTTTTGGGGCTGACCCCGTGGTGCAACGGTCAAGTCCGCACATTCTGCTTCTCGGTGGCCCAGGGTTTGCTGGTTCGGATCCCGGGTGCAGACATGGCACTGCCTGGCAGGCCATGGTGGCAGGCGTTCCATGTATAAAGTAGAGAAAGATGGGCACAGATGTTAGCTCAGGGCCAGGCTTCCTCAGCAAAAAGAGGAGGATTGGCAGCAGATGTTAGCTCAGGGCTAATCTTCCTCAAAAAAAAAATTAAAAAACCAAAAAACAGTATTCAGACCAAACCCACACGTGGGCATCTGGCCTGTGGTCCATCAGTTTGTGAGTCTCATCTACTATCTCTGAAATCCATCCAGTTCCCAATTTATGTAATCTCCCATGTGAACTTTCAGCTTGCTTTCCAAAGTAATTCTACCATGGCCCCAACACCTCCTCTTTCAGAATTAGACTACAGGTACCTGGAAGCCTCACCTGGAATTGAAATCGTATGTTTCCCATGACTTCAATGTTGTCTGTCCAAGTTGTATTTGCATCCAGTTCTCTCTGATGCCTATATCTTTCCCATAGATAAATCATGTATTTTATTATTCTCCTCTGGCTTCAGCTTTTTTTCTTTGAGTGTACAATTGTCCTAGATTTTTTATTTTTTTCCCTTTTTCTCCCCAAAGCTCCCCAGTACATAGTTGTATATTCTTCGTTGTGGGTCCTTCTAGTTGTGGCATGTGGGACACCACCTCAGCGTGGTTTGATGAGCAGTGCCATGTCTGCGCCCAGGATTCGAACCAACGAAACACTGGGCCACCTGCAGCAGAGCACGTGAACTTAACCACTCGGCCACAGGGCCAGCCCCCAATTGATCTAGATTTTTAAAAATAATTTTTGGATAGGCAATAGCCTAACATGGCACATAATTTAAAAGATGCAAAGATCATGCAGCAAAAGTCTCATTTTTCCCTTTTCCTCCAGCTATAACCACCGGTTAACAGTTTGTTCTGTATCTTTCCCGAGAAATCGTAGATAAATATATTTTTTGCACTAGTGGTAGCATTCTATACATGCTGTTCTATATTCCATACCTCGTGTTTTCCATGTAAGGTTA